GAAAACCCCTTCGAATTGTAAGGGGGGGTTCCCTGGGGGGGTAAAGCTTTTGAAAGGGAATTTAAATTAATTTTGGCGGGTAGGCCAAAGGGAAAATTCGGGGGGCCATTGGTTTCCAAATTTGGAATTCAATTGGACCCAGGTTTGTCAAGGAATTGAAAAAGGAAAACCATTTGTGCCCTTGGGGGGAAGTTTTTTTTTTTTTAGGGGATTTTTTTTGAATTTGGGTTCCGGATGGAATTAAAAGGGTTTGGTAGGGGAAGGGGTTAAAGATTAGGCCATTATTTTTGGGGGTTTAAAGCGTTGTTGGAAATTTTCAAAAGTAAAATAATAATTGCAAATAAGGGCGGAACAAATTTCAAATTTGTTTTTTTTTTTTAGGGGAATAGTTGGGGGAGGTATGGCCTTGGGTTTTTGGGTTTTGGGGGGGGGGGGGTTAAAAATTATTTTAAAGATGAAAAGGGGGGGGGGGGGGGGGGGTGTCAACTCAGCACTTGAGAGGACAAAGAGAGGAATGTGGAATGTGGAGTGAGTGCGTGAGTACGTGAGTGGGTGATGGTGTAATGCAGGTCCGGCAGCCCGCCCATGCAATTGTATTTGTAGCCTCCTCCAGCCATCTCGCGCTGGGACGTACGTGAAGTAGCCGGTGCCATGTCATGGCCAGACGGCCCAGGAGCAATAGCGCGATGTTTGCTATACGCAGAGTGGATGGTTATTCCAGAGGCTGGTCTGGATACGCGGCCGAGGTGGTTGGGCCCAGCCTCGCGCTAGTCCTCTTTGAGTCCTCACAGCCTACCCACCGAATCCAAGGGCAGCGACAATCTCCAACATGACGCACTCGCACTTCCTGTTGTATTACCCGATATCACTCGATATTGCTCGATATTACTACAGCCAAAAGCTTGATTCTCTTGCATTGCGCGTCTCTGCGTCTATCTTCTACAGAGGGTGAATCGCCAGGGAGTGTCTCTGTATGCCTCGTTCCCACCATTCTGACAACATCCACACCGGTCGAGAGCATTCGGCTCAATACTTTACGGCGCAATCACGCGACTCCATCTTCGCCTTGTTTCGATCAGGCGGTTGTCGAAAAAAGATCTCACCCGGACTATTTTTAGACACCTCACCTACCGGAACTTACTAGTAGGTACGGTACTTGTAGTACGACATCCGGCGGCCCATCGTGCAGCCATCTCGCCAATCACACAGGACCCTGAATGAAATGTGACGCCCCAACTCAGTGCCCGTCTAACCACAAAGACTTTGTCCATGGCCGTTACGAGATCTCACCACCCGAAAAGAGACATCGTTAGACATACAATAGTCTCAGTGCCGTAAACAATTTGCCACGCGCTACACTATCTGAGTGCTGCCGAGGGCTGTCGCATTGTCGTATAGCTGTCCGTCACGTGCGCATGAGAATATTTCGAAATTCAACCTGCACTTGACACATGTGTGAAGACAACACATGGTGAAACTGATCATGGTTTCCTAGCTCTGCCAGTCCCAATATCGTGCTCGTGGCAGATTGTGCAGACTAGAGTACCCATATACTTTATAAAGCCCCTCTGCGTGGCCTACCTTTTCTTCAATTTGCCTAAAATCCCCAAACACCTAGATGTTCGTGACTTGCAAACTGAGCATCAAGCTTCGCATGATCTCATTGCTTCCGCCATTGTCGAGAACCGAACTCTCCACTGTACAAGTATCTCTCAGCATTAAAATATCCATCAGACTTGGGCCATGTCTTCAGTCCAAAAGCATCCAACGAACCTTCTATGAGTATTGTGGCCACCACCATGTTCATGGACCAAAAGACGTCCCGACCATCTCGCCATGACTTTAGTCCACAGCATTATCCCGCTTAGTCATCACCCCATATTTCGATAAAAGAATCATGGACTACAGTTTTGATGTTCTATCCCTGCCTTTATCACGGTATACAAGACATCACGATGCAAGGCGTTAAAAAACTTGCTAAACTTAAATGCTTGGAAAGAAGTACATGTCTCTCTTGACATAGGCGCTCGTAGCTTGGCACAAAGGCTATGAAGAATATATTCAATGAATTTGATAAGGAGAATACATACGACCATAGGACACTGAAAACTAGGCTTCCCGTCCGCTCAGCCATATATAAGCAGTGTACCGGCGGATTAGTAGTTAGGTGGGTGACCACTAGCGAATCCCCGCTGTTGTATGTTTTTGTTTTTTTTTGCTTCATGCTCGTACTCAAACACCCCAAAGTCTCGGTACAAATCATTCACACCGATGTGCAACGCAGAGACACGTGGATAGTCTTGGTGGGACTGTCCTGCAACCCTTTCTCGCTAGTCTAATACCTTTGCAGACATGCACCACGCCTATAAGGTATTAATTAAAGATTTTTGAGAAACAAGTAAATACACCAGAGATCAAGGAGCGGACGCGTTAGTATTCGGCCTTAGCTTAGCCGCACAAGACTTTAATCAAAGGTTTAGAATTAAGATATTCATGTGTGCTTTTGCCCCTCAGGATAGTTATACCATCCTCTCAAAAGTGGCCATTCCTCAACAAATGTCTGCCTTCCAGAATGTCCTTTCCTGTTGCTCTTGGAAACAACCACAGGATATAACAAACAGCTGACATAGCTAAGCAAGTGGCCCCAAAGTCCAGTTATTTAAACTTTTATCAGCCACCATAACTAGTAAGAATGGTGGTTGGATACGATATATATATTGTTTCTTCATCCTTTTGATCCTATTGCCCTTCACTCACTTTACCTAGAGTCTTAAAAGCCGTATACTAATCAGGCGACGATCTCAATCAACGATAATTCCAATCGATGAAAGCCTTTTTTACAAAACATATCAAAACATTGGTTCGATAAATTCGTGTCTCAGAGTTCATCAGAAGAACACTGTATATATATAAACCGCCTTGATCAATCTCCACACGTTCATCACCGTCCTTCGAACACTCTTCCGCGTCTACAGCGGAATTATGTCAAAGATTTGGAGATACCTCTTGATGAAACGGCTCTCCCTTTCCAAGGGAGAAAATAGAAAGTGCATGCTTTTTGCTGCGCGCTGGAAGAGGTAGCTTGTGTTATGTATCATGTGTTGTGTATAAAAAACCTCTTTGCCCACCAGGCTCAGACTGCTTACCTTCCTAATTCATCTGCGGATATCAAAGGATGTTGATGAGGAAGGACATGTGGCCGCTCTCATCTTGGTTCTTCAATAATTACACGCCATGAAAGTGTGCTCTGGTCACGTTTTCACAGGAGTAACTGGAACGCGTTATGGTGGACTTTGTTGTGAGTGTGTAGATCGTTGCTGTAAATAGATACACTGTCGGATAATGACGAGGGCGTGATCTGTCGAGATAATATCCATGTTTTGGAAGCCAAGTATTAGGGCAGCGAAAAGTGACATGTGCAAATCCATGTCTCAAACTGCAACCTTATTTGCACACCGACATAGTTGAGAGAGCGTAGAATTTGGTGCCGCGTTTACGAGTGACGGGGTTTGAGAATAATCTCAGACAGAGAAAGAATGTTGGTTATTTACTTTTCAAGAGGGGAAGCAGGGAAGGCTTTTGGGTGAGCAAGGTATACTAGGAAGGCCGCTTGAGTGAAGTATTATGCCTTCGTCTAAGGGTATGATGTAACTTTTTGGCTGGGAGCAAGCACCAATATTTATGCGTCTAAACATGGGACAAGGTGAGACACTGTTTGGGCATCTTTCGGTACACGATATGTGTAATGGATGTCTCCGGTTGATCCGCCGCATAGCGTAAGAATGTCCGCTGTGTTAAGTTTAAAGTCAGATGTGTAGGCAGGGCTAAAATATAGCCAGCCGCATACTCGTCAAAACCCAAATCACACTTCTGCATTCAAGCCTTATGCATGCCCTGAGGCTCGTCCACACGTGCAATTGCTTGTCCATTCTTCTCCTTGCACCACAACACTGTAGATACGAGGACATGGGTCGATATTCTCTCGCCCTGATGTTCGTATGCCCAAGCCAAAGAACTTCTTGATTCGCTTTGCTCATTTTACTCTCCTTTGCATTTTTCCAAGAGCGTTGGCCTCTTCTTAACCTGGTGTGATTACAAGGACACCCCGATCCTTTCTGGTTCGTGTCTCATTTGTATTGTGCAATCCTTTTTGGAAGACGACCAAAATCCAATGTATGCTCTGTCGATTTGACAGAAATGAGCATGGCCTAAGACAAAATAGAAAACTGGGAAGGGACATGGCAGTTGAGGTCTTGCTCATGTAGAGTGCATAATCAAGAGAGTGGCCAGTGGTTTGTTTAATATTGTCGTCCGATGGTGAGCGGCGTGCTTAATTGGAGCGTGTACCGGTAGCTTCGCAATTTCTTTGTTGTTGTTGGTACATCACATGGACGCGAAACATTACCATTGCTGACTTGTTTCTTGTGAAGTCAAAGATGTCTACATGCTAGGTAGAATCAGGCTACAGTCACTGAGGTATGGAGCCTTCAATCCCAGCTCTGATCGTCTGACAGATGAGAGTTGATTGGGTTAAGTCGGACGGAGCGATACCACCGACCACCAAATGATCTAGTCAAACAAGTCACAACGTCCACTTCCATGCGCACAGTCTGGGTTCCATCATATACCAGCATCCAGCCCTGCAACAGTAAAAGAAGTACTCTCAGTGATGTCACTGCCATGTGATAAGCCGGCGAAAGTATCTTGGTTGGCCGACATCACCAACCCCAAAGCGGACTCGGCACGTGAGCAGCCTCAACCCCTCGAGCCGCCAAATCCATCTCCCGATGCCGACCAAAGTACCGAACCAACGCCAAACGAAAGAAATCTATCTCCAACTCCCCGCAAAAACCCCACATCCAAACCTCCACAGTGTCCAAACGTGGAGTCTCGCCGCATAAGAGCCAGCCACTGGTGGCAGCTCCGTTTCATCGAGTGCCTCCTGCCCACAATGTCTTGGAATAATTGCTGGAAGTATGAAAGATGTGGCAATTGTGAAGTCCCTCTTCGAGCGTCAAAGAGGGGTTACTGGAGGAGATCTTCGTTGACGTGATTGCCCTCAGTCATGACGCGCTGTTACTGAGGCTACAGTTGCTATAATATCTGCCATAGTGAAAAGCTGACAGAAGCTGACTCAAGTAAGCCAAACCAACACCAAGATAAGTTAGGTCCATGTGTCCGGTTGCTAGCGGAAACAACCCCACTACAACGCGCTGAGAATGGGGTACCTGGCGTGGACTGCACATGATGTGGTGTCTGAATGACCAGGTTGCCCCTCGGATCGAGGTCTGTGTTGGTATAGAATTGTCCCTGTGTTGAATCGCTTGAATAGCTTCTCGTTTCTAATTCCTGCCTCCTTTGGCAGTGCAAATATCTGGAACAAAGAACAGCATAAACTGAAGTGGAAATACTCATAACCCACACATTCACTGCCATCGAACATCATTCGAATCGACTGACTCTCCGACCGCCGACCCCCTCCACCCAAGTCAAGATACCCACCACGACAATGGCATACCCCAACCCAACCACCGCCATCCTCAGCCATGCCCCCCAAAACGGTTCTGTCCAATGGCGTAAAACCTCGGTTAACATCCGCGACCCGCTGGAAGACGAAGTCCTTGTCCGCATCGTCGCCTCCGGCATCTGCCACACCGACGTCGTGCTCTCACTCACTCCCCCAGACGCCCCAGGCTTCTCCCCATACCCCAAAGTCGTCGGCCACGAGGGCGCCGGAATAGTAGAAAAAGTAGGATCAGGAATCACGCACACGAAACCCGGGGACAAGGTGCTCTTGTCCTTTGACTACTGCGGCCAGGCCTCGTGCAGGGGTTGTGCAGAGGAAACGCCAGGGTATTGCAGCGAATTCCACGGCCGGAATCTTTTTAGTGCGCCGGATGTGTATCGGACTGAGGGTGGGGATGATGCTGTGAGCGGGTTGTTTTTTGGGCAGAGTAGCTTTTCGCAGCTTGCCATTGCAAAGGGCTCGAGTACGTTGAATGTAGAGGGGTTAGTTAAGGATGTGGAGGAGTTGAGATTGTTTGCACCAATGGGGTGTGGGTATCAGACCGGTGCTGGTGCGGTGACGGAATTGGCTGATGTGAAGAGTGGTGATGCTGTTGCTGTAAGTCCTCTATGCATCCTTAAGAAAAGAAGGCAAGAGAGGGACGCATTTCCCAGGCCAACTTCACCCATTGAAAAAAACAAAAGAATCAACAAGAAAACAGCAAAACCCCCCACAAACCCACTAACATCCCCTCCCCCAGATCTTCGGTCTAGGCGGCGTAGGCATGTCCGCCCTCCTCGCCGCCAAAATACGCAACGCCCACACGATCATCGCCGTAGACCGCATCCCCTCACGCCTCTCCCTCGCCCTCGAACTCGGTGCCACTCACGTCATCGACACCTCTACCCTCCCCTCGCTCACAAACGACCTCGTCGCCGCCATCCGCGCCATTGCACCGGGTGGCACAAACGCAACATTTGACACCACGGGCGTCAAGCCGATCATCGATGCTGGGTGTCAGGCGTTGGGGGCAAAGGGGCAAATGGTGTTGATTGGTATTGTAGAGGGGGGCATGAATATAGATTTGGGGAGTTTGATGAGTGTGAGTTTTGTTCTTTCTTTTCCCTGTTCGGATTTTGTATACAGGGGAGTATGTCTATGTGCTTTGTGGATAGCACCAACGTTGCACTCACTATATACTCAAACTCCCCTTCGCTCCCAAAAAAATCTCCAATTCCAATCTAACAACACCCCTCCAGTTCGGCCACAACATCCGCGGCTGCGTCGAAGGCAACGCCCAACCAAACAAGGTACGCCACTCCAACATCCCTCTCCACCCCCTTCAAAACCCCCCACTAACCTCATATTTCAACATAGTTTGTCCCTAAAATGATCGAATGGTACCGCCAAGGCAAATTGTACGTCTCCCTCCACACAACAGCTAAACGCGATTCAAAACATAAACTAATGCTTATCCCATAGCCCGATTGAAAAACTGACGAAAATTTATTCTGTGAGTGTGAAGTCTCTTCCTCCTCTCATCTTCCTATTTCTCTTACCTGATCCCTCTCTCTCCCTATGCCCCAAACTAACATCGCAAACCCAGTCCGACGACTACACGACAGCGCTCAAGGAAACGCATTCTGGGGAGACGATCAAGGCGATTTTGGTCTGGTGATTGTGATTTTGGGCTGGGAGGATGGGTGTCTGTTGTGTGGGTGTTGTGTGGGACCAAGGGGTTTTTTAAGAGGGAAGGAGATGGAAGAGGAGGGGAGGGTGAGGGAATGGGGGTTGAAGTGGGGTGTGAAAGGGGGAGGGCAAGATGTATACACCAGACCCATTCAGGACAAGTAATGAAATTATGAATTGTTATTCGGTTGGGCGTTGGAGTAATGTTTTGATTTGTTGGTTGGGTGGGTGGGGTTGTTTGGTGTGGAGTGGAAAGGAGGCAAAGGAGGCAAAAGCGCACGGTTCGACTCTCAGAGGATCCCACCGGGGTTGTTTCGGTGTGGAGTGGAAAGGAGGCAAAGGAGGCAAAAGAGGGAGAAAAGCCCCGGAGAGTTGAGGGCCAGGTTAAAATTATTTTCAGATGTAACGTCTTACCATAAAGGCAAAGTAACATAACATCTACTTCAATAAAAGCACCACACGCTCCATTTCATCCATCACACCTACCTTCCACCATCCCCTGTTCCCTACCTCCCCGCCCTAAACCGCCTCAACACCTCCCTCTCCTCCTCATTCCGCGCCACCCCCTCATCCAGCAGCACCTCATGTTTCCACGCCTTCGCCCCAGCCCCATAATCCGCGCCAACCTGGCCGTCACCCCTTGATCACCCACTTATATATCGTCAAACCCTCCAAGCCCACAGGACCCCTGCTATGAATTTTGTTCGTGCTGATGCCGACCTCGGTGCCGAAGCCGTAGCGCTGGCCGTCGGCCATGCGGGTCGACGTGTTCCAGTAGACGCTGCTGCTGTCGACGGCGGCGAGGAAGGATTCAGCGGTTGGGGCGTCAAGGGTGAGGATGGCGTCTGTGTGGTGGGAGCCGTGGGAGTTGATGTGTTGGATTGCGTGGGAGACGTCTGGGACTGTTTTGAGGGCGAGGATGAGGTCGAGGAATTCGGTGCTGTAGTCTTTTGGTTCTGCGGGTTGGAGGAGGACGGCGGAGTGGGCATCTAGGGTTTGGGAGAGGGCCGCGAGCGAGGCGGGGTCGCAGCGGAGAGAGACGCCTTTCTTGAGGAGGGCGTCTGCGATGGTGGGGAGGGTGGCTGTGAGTGCGGATTCTTCGACGAGGAGTTGCTCGAGGGCGTTGCAGCCAGCTGGGTAACTTGTCTTTGCGTCGAGGATGATGCGTGTGGCTTTGTCGGCAGGGTAGTCTGCGCAGAGATATGTTGAGCAGATTCCGTCCGCATGGCCGAGAACAGGAATGGTGGTGCTGTCTTTTACATAACGGACGAGTTTATTGCCTCCTCTTGGAATGCACAGGTCAATGTATGTATCCTGTTTCAACAAATCGGCAATAACGTCGTGTGTCTGGACAAGCTGCAGGCAATCACTCGGCACTGCTGTACCTGCCAGTGCTTTTGAGATGAGGGAAGCTATGGCCGCGAAACTGTGACTGGACTCTCGTCCTCCCTTAAGAATGGCAGCATTTCCGGATTTGATCGCAAGAGCACTGATGTTGGCAATGACTTCTGGACGGGCTTCGAAGATGATCAAAAGTACCCCAATCGGACACGTGATCCTGCTCAAGAGTAGGCCATCGTCCAGTAGCGTGCGTGAAACCGTCTTGTTGATGGGATCCTCGAGGTCTCGCACATCCAGAATGCCTTGCAGCATGTCTTCATATTTTCCAGGTTTCGACAGGTCCAATCTCTTCACCAAACTTGCGCTCAGCGTTCCCCCTGCGGCTGCTTTGTTGGCAGATTCCAAATCCTTCACATTGGCTGCCAATACCTCCTCTTTTCCTGCAGCAAGTGCTGCGTGGATAGCCGTCAAAGATGCATTACGCTCTTCGGTCGATAAGATGGCAAGTTTTCGTGATCCCAATCGGGCAGCTTGTGCCACTTCAAGCGGCGTTGCATTTGTTAGAGACATGATGTTATAGAGTTGGAACTTATTATGACTTGTCGCTCCGAAGTCGCGGGGTTTGACAATGTTCGTGAAGGGAAAGCATACTAATCGAATTCGGCTAGTCGTACGCCCTTCGCTCTGCTACCCAAGCCATCACCTTCACAGTGGCCAACGCATTACCGTCTCACAATTGGCTATATACAATCTCTAGTCGTGAATCAACACTGCTCCCCTCCCGCTTCCAAAGGGATACCTGCATCCGTTGGCGTAGTACATGTTACGCCAATCACAACGGAAGATTGTCGCCTGTGATCTCAACATAGCAACAGTCCTGCTCTGGGACCAAGACCATTCACAAAGACGACTTGGACACGACATATTCTAGTAATATATATGTCTATATTGCGATAACTATATCGACATCCCAAAAGGGCCAGACAAATGCATCTATCTACCCATAGCAGCCGAGGTACAGCAGCCGTCAAGACTCCCCATTCGTATGCATCCAATCCAGATCATATAAATCGTTCCGTGGTATCCAGTCATATCTACTACCCGTTCGGGTATCCTCTTCCTGAACAGTCGAGCGCTTACTCGACGCCCTTGTTTCTCAGAGCGAGGGAAGCCTCGGCAAAGATCTGAGCACCGTCTTTGAGACGACGCTCCTCATTCTTGCGACCGTTCACAAAGTCGGGGTAATTGAGAGTGAGCTCGACGGCACCGTTGACGATGTTGTCTACAGCTTCCACGCCCAACATGAACGAGTGGTCTTGGTTGCCGACTTCGTAGCGCCAGGATCCGAAGCGACCACGAGACCAAATATCCTGAGCCTGGAGAGCTGGCAGGAGCTTCGTCAGGACACCCTCTCGCTCCAACGAGGGAGTGGGGTATCCGTGGTCGAAGCGGCGGTGGTAGGTTGAGACAATCTCGTCGTCGGACTTGATCATCTCTGTGTTGATGAGACCTTGAATGCAGTCCCTCAGCAGGTTCTTATTATCGACAGGCTTCATGCTAGACTCGGAGACCTCCAACATGATGGACCAGTAAGGGCCCTCCTTTGGCTCAGTCGAGCTGGGCTTGGAGCCATCTGCGAGCTGCTGTGTAGGAAGCTTCGCATCCTTTTGGGGCTGGTTGTATGGCGAGTAGTTGGAGAAGATGGTTGCACGGTAGAATGGGCAGTCATCTTCGGGGAAGTAGAGCCAGCACTTATCGCCAATGCGTTCTGGTCGCTCGCCTCGGATACCAACGCCGATGACGTGTGTGCTCGAGTAGAAGAGATCCTTGCTGAGATTGATCAGCTCCTTGTCGCCCATGGACTCGACGAGCGCATCGACAGCCATGGTGTTGACCAGCTTCTTGTAGTTGACCACGGTGCCGTCTTTGAGGTGAACCTTGTGTCCGCTCGCATCGACCTTGGTGACTGTGCCGCTCTCGCCATATCGCTTCCTCGAGTCTGGCAGAGTGTTGGAGACGGCGATCCAGATGCCACCAGTGCCGTCCCTTGCGGGGAAGCGGAAGGTGGCATTTGGCCCCCAGTTTCCTGCGGTCTTGTTGTAGATGATGTTGTTGATGACACCCTTGACGTTGGGTGCAGCTACACGCTCTCCAAGCCACTGGCACTGCATCTTAGTGGTAGGCACAGCCCAGACCTTGAAGTTGTAGGGCCTCATGAAGAGGTCGGCGATCCCGACACCCATCTGTCGCAAGATCCACTCATCAAAGTCCTTTGGCTTTGTGTTGGCCACGCGGGCCTCGAGTGCAGCGTCAATCAAGCCATCGACGCATTTGGCCTGATCGTCCTTGCCCAACATGGACAGGTTGTTCTGGAAGGGGTAAGGAACCCATTGGCGCTTGCAGCGGACGTAGGAAATGCGCTGGTGGGTGAACCAGTCGTCCTCGCTGGGGAGGGCCTCGTCGATGCAGTCATCGAAGTATTTGTAGTGGGAGAAAATGACATGGCCACCGACATCGTATAGCTGAAGATGGGTCAGACAGGTGGAGCGGCCAATTGGCCAGGAGGAAACTTACAAAGCCTTCTGGAGTCTTGTCTGTCGAGGCCAGCCCACCGGGGATCTCGTTTGAGTCTACAATGAGCCATGAGGGGCCATTCTGGGAGACGAGTTAGTTACCAAGAACTTGTGTAACGGGAGGTCGAATGAAAAAAGGGGTCCTACAATCTGATTGAGGCGTTTTGCAGCACCCAGGCCAGTTGGCCCAGCACCGATGACGAGGACGTCGACATGGCTTCACCCAAGGTCAGCTCGAGCGTGGTGGGAGGGAATTGCGGTCAGGGCGGTGAAAGCGTACATTTCTTGCTTGGCGGATCCCATCTTTCCTTGCAGCAGTTCTTGGAAACTAGGAACTTTCTTTAGTGTTTGGCGGGCAAGATTCAACATGTAAAGGCGAGAGGCGAGCAGAGGCTAGAAAACTTTGCGGCAGAGCAGAGCAGAGCAGAGCAGAGCAGAGCAGAGCAGAGCAGAGCAGAGCAGAGCAGAGCAGAGCAGAAAGAGAGCTGCCGGTGGCCAACAGACAGTCGATGGGGGCAGCGGTACAGCGTAGAATTATAGCGGGCGGCGAATGAACAGGCCAAGAGAGGCAAGCGCGCCAAGCGACAGATCAGGGCAGGGCCGGGGCAGGGCAAGGGTTTGTTCACCTACTGTATGCTATCTAGCCGAGATGGTGTGCAGCCAATGCTTTTTGCTGGCGACGGGCAGAGAAGAAGGGGCAGAGAAGAAGGGGCAGAGAAGAAAGGGCAGAGAAGAAAGGGCAGAGAAGAAAGGGCAGAGAAGAAAGGGCAGAGAAGAAAGGGCAGAAGAGAAGGAGAGAAGTCAGAGAGAGGGAGAGAGAAGGAGAAAGAGAGAGGCGCTTTTTGGATGCACGGTGCAGAAACAGGTGACAGGCTTCGGAGGATCAGGCAGTGCGTAGAGTAGATGATGCTACACACGATATGTGTTGTTGTTGTGGTGGTGGGTAGGTAGGTAGTAAGTACATACACATGTACAGGTAGACCGGTGTCAAGGGGGAGAAACAAACTGGTGGGGACGCCAATTTTGATTTTTTTGCTTCCGTGTCCAGTACCCATACTAGGTAGGCATGTAGGATGCGCAATGTAGTAGTGTGTATGAGGAAGATGAGCTGCTCGTGCCAGCATGGGTGTGCTGATTGGCTGCCTGCGCCGTGACGACAACACTGGAGGGGGTGAATGTTGACTCTTCCAGTGTGTCATGGGCTAATCCACGTATTACGCACGCGTAACCCTGGCGCGCAATTGTTTCTTCTCCAGCAGTGAGCACGCACATGGTAGGACAGTACCTACATAGCACATGCATGGCATTGTACGCTTCACGGTAACGGTACCTGATGACGCAGGCAGTCTCTTGAAGAGAGGTCCATCCTACTCTAGCTCTGGCTATGGACACACCATGTCGGTACTATGGTAGTATCCAAGTACACACTCTCCTTCGACACCACAGAGTCACAGACAGGGCAGGATGCATAAACCCATATAGCCAACGATGCCTTGTGCATAGCATATATACTACTACCACATACCACATCCACGTCAGCACATGGTGGGTATGTGGGTAGGTATGCATGTGTGTAAATGTGTATCTAGGTAGCTAAGAGTACTATCTGCCGTGGCAATGATTGCCCCGTCTCTAGCTAATGTGCAATGTACATCACCATCTCTCCATCCTATCACGTCATTTTACTCATATGAAGGCACTGTGGATTCGGTGGGTAGGCCTGTCGCACACATAGTAGATGAGCCAGTGCAGTCTGGGGAATGAATCGCTGCACATGAAACAAACGCCATTTCAGGGAGGTGAGGCACACTGTCTTTCCACAAGCGCAGGCAAGAATGGCGGGCGGATGCTTGCGCGTCGCTCGCAAATCTCTTACCGTCTTGTTTCACCTGGACAGTTTCCCGGATCATCTTCATGTGGGAACGGCTAGGTTTGGCGTCGTGGGCTCCACTGCTATCTTATGCCTCTCAGCCATTCCGCTCCGCCCTTCTCCATCCAGCCCATCCCCCCCCCCCCTAGTCCCCTCCCCCAGTCCCCCACCACCCCCAATCAAGCGCAAATTACTCGTGCTCTTTTACCAGCCCTCCCAACAAACTTTTCTGCGCCCTCATTCGTCTCAAACCACACCAATCACCAATTGCTTGGGTGCGCCAACACCGCCCATTCAGTGCTGCCTCCCGTTACATCCCCTCTTGCCCCCCCCCACCAAGAGCGTTACCGCCTCTCCTAATATGTCCTTGCCCGCCACCACCTCCGCCAACAACCCCATGGCCACTGGGAGGGTGGTGGTGGCGGCAACGACCACAACAACGAGGATACCGAGACCCTGCCACGGGCTATTGCCTGTTTCATGCTCGCGCTCGAGACGGACGGATGGGGCAATTATCGCAGTTTGAAGACCTGGAAGTATGTGGCTGCTGCTGTTTGCTTGAAAC